TTTCCCTCCCTCCCTTCCTTTTTCCTTCCTTCCTGTCCCTCCTTCCTTCTTCCTTTCCTTCTTTTCCTCCCTCCCTCCTTTCCTTCTTCTTTCCCTTTCTTCTTTCCTTCCCCTTCATTTCCTTCCCTCCCTCCTTTCTTCATCCCCCTCCTTTCTTTCCTTCCTTCCTTCCCCTCTTTCCTTCCTTCTCCTCCCTCCCTCCCTCTCCCTCCTTCTTTCTTTTCCTTCCTTCCCTTCTTTCCCTCCCTCCTTTCCTTTTTCCTTCCTTCCTGTCCCTCCTTCCTTCTTCCTTTCCTTCTTTTCCTCCCTCCCTCCCTTTCCTTCTTCTTTCCCTTTCTTCATTTCCTTCCCCTTCATTTCCTTCCCTCCCTCCTTTCTTCATCCCCCTCCTTTCTTTCCCTTCTTCCTTCCTCCTTCCTTCCTCCCTCCCTCCCTTCCTCCTTCTTTCTTTTCCTTCCTTCCCTTCTTTCCCTCCCTCCCTTTTTCCTTCCTTCCTGTCCCTCCTTCCTTCTTCCTTTCCTTCTTTTCCTCCCTCCCTCCCTTTCCTTCTTCTTTCCCTTTCTTCATTTCCTTCCCCTTCATTTCCTTCCCTCCCTCCTTTCTTCATCCCCCTCCTTTCTTTCCCTCCTTCCTTCCTCCTTCCTTCCTTCTCCTCCCTCCCTCCCTCTCCCTCCTTCTTTCTTTTCCTTCCTTCCCTTCTTTCCCTCCCTCCCTTCCTTTTTCCTTCCTTCCTGTCCCTCCTTCCTTCTTCCTTTCCTTCTTTTCCTCCCTCCCTTCCTTTCCTTCTTCTTTCCCTTTCTTCATTTCCTTCCCTCCCTCCTTTCTTCATCCCCCTCCTTTCTTTCCCTCCTTCCTTCCTCCTTCCTTCCTTCTCTTTCCTCCCTCCCTCCCTGTCCCTCCTTCTTTCTTTTCCTTCCCTTCTTTTCCTCCCTCCCTTCCTTTTTCCTTTCTTCCTTCCTGTCCCTCCTTCCTTCCTTCTTCCTTTCCTTCTTTCTATGTAAGATATAAATACAATATTAAATGGAAGGGAGGGGAAAGAGGGAAGGAAGGAGAGAAGAAAATAAAAAAGTGAAAGGAAAAAGAGAGGGAAGGAAGGAGAGAAGGAATGAAAGATAGGGAAGGAATGAAAGATAGGGAAGGAAGAAAGGAAGGAAGGAAGGAGGTAACCAAAGAGCAAAGAAAGGGAGGAAAGAAACAGGTAGAGATGGAAGAAAGATGAGAGATAGGGAAAGAAAAAGAGGAAAGGAAGGAAAGAGGGAAGGAGGAGAGAAAGAGGGAGGGAAGGTTGGCCACAGCAACGTGTGGCAGGTACAGCTAGTAGTAGTAGTAGTAGTAATAATAATAATAATAATAATAATAATAGGCTCTATCTGCCAAGAAGATCTGGTGGCAGAGGACTTTTACAAGTCAAACAAGAAGTCAAAGAAGAAAAACATTATGCCCTTGCAGAACATGTAAAGGAAAGACACGAACCTGCTTTAATTGAAGTTAATAATCGGAAACTTCTCAAAGCACAGCAGACAAAGAATCAGTACAAGAAAACTGCACTCCAAACCAGAGCTGACAGCTGGCACAACAAAGCATTGCATGGGCAATTCCTTGACAAAATTGAAGGAAAAGTTGATAAGGAGAAGACCTGGTGATGGCTCACGAATGGAACCCTGAAGAAGGAGACAGAAGAAGGCCTGGTTCTTGCAGCCCAGGAGCAAACCATCAGAACAAAGGCCGTTAAGGCCAGGATTGAAAAATCAGCTGGTGACACAAAATGCAAACTGGAAACTGATGAAACCATGGATCATATCCTCAGCTCTTACCTGTGCAAAGCGCTGTCGGTCCCTGCTGGGGCGCAGGTAGTGGGGCTGCCTTTGGCGCAGATTCCTCAAAGCGCAGGTGTCGCTGACCCTCTGGCTCTTGCTCCGGCCCCCGATGCGCACGACCCCCATCAGCAGGAAGTCCAGCACCCCTGCAATGGAGGGCAAGGGCAAGGGGGGGGGGGCAGGGAAGGAAGAAGAGGAGTGCAAGCTTGGTGCGGATTTGGGGTGCAAACGTGGAATGGCCCAGCGGGACTCCAGTTCCTGTTGCACTCTTATGTTTGAGACACCTTTTCTTATTTACTTACTTAGATAGCAGTTCTATTTACAAAAGGAAAAAAGGGGCATTTCCAAAAATTGCAGTAGAGTAGCAGCAATACAAAATAGCAGCAATCCAAAATGTCCAAATACATGTAGTCAATGGAGTCAAAATCTCAGGAATAAATCCATAAGCAAGGAATATAGGCAGAAACAGGACCGCTGAATCAAGAAATTGAAAGCCGAGACAAGGAAGCCATCCTTACTGCAATGTTATCTCCTCTGAGGGGAGTAAACACCACTTAATTTAAGACCAAGGCTAACCAAGAAGCCATGAGATCATGCCAAACGCACCTGGGCTTCAAGGACTTCTCACGAATTATCTCAGAATGTCTATTAGTCTATTTTCACTCCCTCTGTCCTCAAACCTAATCTGACTCCACGGGAAAACTCTCCATCAGCAGAAGGCCGTTTCACCAGGGAACTGCAATCCTCGCTGTCTGAGATCATGCCAAACGCACCTGGGCTTCAAGGTCTTCTCACGAATTATCTCAGAATGTCTATTAGTCTATTTTTCACTCCCTCTGTCCTCAAACCTAATCTGACTCCACGGGAAAACTCTCCATCAGCAGAAGGCCGTTTCACCAGGGAACTGCAATCCTCGCTGTCTGAGATCATGCCAAACGCACCTGGGCTTCAAGGTCTTCTCACGAATTATCTCAGAATGTCTATTAGTCTATTTTTCACTCCCTCTGTCCTCAAACCTAATCTGACTCCACGGGAAAACTCTCCATCAGCAGAAGGCCGTTTCACCAGGGAACTGCAATCCTCGCTGTCTGAGATCATGCCAAACGCACCTGGGCTTCAAGGTCTTCTCACAAATTATCTCAGAATGTCTATTAGTCTATTTTTCACTCCCTCTGTTCTCAAACCTAATCTGACTCCATGGGAAAACTCCATCAGCAGAAGGCCGTTTCACCAGGGAACTGCAATCCTCACTGTCTGTTGCCTGGGAATGGCCACCAGAATCCTAAATACTGGCTTCCTTGGCTCTGATCACTAGCAGAGTCTTCACATTTAAACCCATTATTTCCCTCATCCTCTGAAACATCAGAAAAATACCCTTCTAGTGTATTGAGGGTGGGCCCAGTGGGATCCCAGACATGACCTACATGTGGCCCAAGGCGCTTCCACACCTCTACCAATGGCTTGGACGATGGAAGAGGCCACATGTAGGTCATGTCCAATAGTATCACAATTTTGAAAAAAAAATGGAAAGGGGCACTTATGGAAACAAGTATGCTGCAAGGGGAACTGGCCTCTGCCAGTACAAATGGCCCTGCAGAAAATACCTTCCAGGAACTGGTCCAGCGCATGGTTGGTGTAGCAGACCACCAGGCAGGGAGTGTTTGCCTTGTTCCAGAGACTCTCGTTGTCCAGCAGAATCTGCAGAATCTTCAGTCCAATGAACGTTTTCCCTGGATAGAAATTGGAATTAGATGCAGAGTGACCCACACATCCTGAAAGGACGCAGCATATGCAAGCAGGGAGGGAGGGCGTGCTGGGGGCTCACCCGAATCGAAAACCCCTGCACTCCATAGCAATGAAAGCAGTGCCAAACTGAACTCATTCTGCAGTGCAGACGCTCCCAGAGAGGGCCCGCATTGGAACCCCCCCCCCCAACTTACCTGTCCCAGGTGGGCCCTGGATCAGCACAAACTCGGAGCCGAGGGCTGTCCGGACAGCATTGACCTGGCTCTCGTCCAGGTGGGGAAAGGTCTCTGGCCTCCACAGCTGGGGGCAAAGGGGGCTCACGGATGACAGGTCCAACAGCAACCCCTCCGCCTGCAAACACAAACGCTCCATTAGGCACTTGCCTGCTAATTGGGTCTATCAATTTAAATAGCTGAAAACATCTAGAATTGCTGGAAGAGCTGGTACGCTGCACTGAGATCCTGTTCATGGCCAAAAATGCTGTTGTGTCTCAGAGTAAGATTCACCTTGCTCTCTACAACAAACCAGCCACAGTTGTGAGGTATATAGTTTATTGTGAGGTTTCCAAACAAAAGGCAGTTCATAAGCAGTGAAAAGATCAATAGTACAGGTTATAATCCAATATAATCCATATTGCCAAAGCAGGAGACTTGAAGCACAGGTTCAGTGTAAAGTCCATGAAATAGCATGAAGCAGCCTTCCCCAAGGCCCGGAGCCGGAGCTAGCCAAAAAGCAACGTTGGAACTGACAACGAGAAATCTCCAGAGCAGAGCATATATTCACTAAACATCAAAACAAGCAGCTTTCCCATCAAACTGATGATCTCAACACTTGGCCGCAATCCGTAGGCTCCGTCTCAACACCTGGGCCCTTGACCCTGGTTCTCAGCATCTGTCTTATCATCTGCATTCCTTTCCTGTGAGAACTGCGGCCTCTCTACAGATACAGGCTGTGACTGAGAAAACTGAAAGCCAACATCACCAGCTGCATTCTCACTCTCATCCCCATCATGCTGTTGTTGTTGAACCACAACAAATGCTGAGGCTCGGTGCCCCAAAATCCTTCTATATTCCAATCAGAATCTAGAGATGAGCTCTATGTATCTCTCTCTCTTTCTCTCCAGCCAAATACATATAGCTCACTCTATCGATCTATCGATCTATCGATCTATCGATCTATCGATCTATCGATCTATCGATCTATCTATCTATCTATCTATCTATCTATCTATCTCTTCAGCCAAATATATATAACTCTATCTATCTCTCCAGCCAAATGCATATAGCCCTATGTATCTATGTATCTCTCTCCCTCCCTCCAGCCAAATACATATAGCTCGATCTAGCTAGCTAGCTAGTAGGCTTGGGTAAGTTCATTCGTTAGTTTCTAAAATCGTAATTAATTCAGATTAAATTACCTTTTGATCCAATTTCAAGCCATGCAGGAATAGTGGGAGGAGCAATTCCGAACTGAAACAACTTCCCCATTGTTCGGAATTATTTTTGGATGTGGCTTTGCATGCCCGGCGATGCAAAGAGGGACGAGGTGGGCGTGGCTAAGCACAGCTCTTCTTGAAGGCCACTGGGGGCGTGGCCTTCAAGAAGAGCTGTGCTTAGCCACACCCACCCCGTCCCTCTGCATCACAGCTCGCCACTAAAGAAGAGACAAGCATCCCGAGCTCTGAGGATCACCTGGGAAGGAATCCCACTGGAGCATTGCAGCGCACCCAATACCTGGGAGTCACTCTGGACCGTGCTCTGACCTACAAGAAGCACTGCCTGAACATCAAGCAAAAAGTGGGCGCTAGAAACAACATCATACGAAAGCTGACTGGCACAACCTGGGGATCACAACCAGACACAGTGAAGACATCTGCCCTTGCGCTATGCTACTCTGCTGCTGAGTACGCATGCCCATGTGGAACACATCTCACCACACTAAAACAGTGGATGTGGCTCTTAATGAGACATGCCGCATTATCACGGGGTGTCTGCGCCCTACACCACTGGAGAAATTACACTGCTTAGCCGGTATTGCACCACCTGACATCCGCTGGGAAGGAGCAGCCAATAGTGAAAGGACCAAGGCAGAGACATCTCCAGCTCATCCCCTGTTTGGGTATCAGCCAGCACGTCAACCAGTTTTCTTAGATCTACAGAGACACTTGCTGGAACACCCCAGCAAGCGAGAGTCCAAAAGTGGCAGGCCCAAGCCCAGCACCTCAATCCATGGGTGATACCAGATGAGAGACTCCCCCCTGGGCACACAGAAGACTGGGCGACTTGGAAGGCGCTGAACAGACTGCGCTCTGGCACCACGAGATGCAGAGCCAACCTCAAGAGATGAGGCCACAAAGTGGAATCCACGGCATGCGAGTGTGGAGAAGAGCAAACCACTGACCACCTGCTGCAATGCAACCTGAGCCTTGCCACATGCACAAGGGAGGACCTCCTTGCGGTAACACCAGAGGCACTCCAAGGGGACAGAGACTGGTCAAAGGACATTTAATCAACTACCAAGTTTGCAAAATCTGTGTTTTTTTTGTTGTTGTTTTTTGTTTTGTTTTTTTAATCTGTTTGTTTGTTTTGTTCTGTTAGAAATGTAATACAATGGTATGGTTGCTGATGACACGATAAATAAACCAGGGAAGGAAGGGAAACTGCAAGATTTGAATGGTTCTGGAGGGAGGGGCACCTTCCATTAACGAAGCAAATGAAGCGATTCGTATTTCCTGATATTTACAATATTTTTTTCAAGAAAATTTCGAAAATAATTTCAAAATCGAATCACCAGCTACATCTGAAACGAGTTTTGAACCCCCCCCCCCCTTTTTTTTTTTTTTTTTTTTTTTTGGATCAGCCAAGCCTACTAGCTAGCTAGCTTTGGATGGCATAGGGAAGGGTCAATCCCATCTGTGGTGTTTCTTTTGCTGCCTGTGCCCTTTCAACAGTCGGAAGGATCTGAACCAGCCCTCTGGGGGTCTCCCATGCGCCTACCTTGGGATGGTCTGCACTGGCCTCAGGAGATGATGGGGAGCCAACTTTTGCAAGATCCTTGGTGGAAGTGGGTTTGTCCTTGGGGGGATGCAGGGCACTGAGGTCAAAGGTCACCAGCCCTGCCCCTTCCTTCTCCTCCTCTTGCAGGTACGCTGGTGGGGAGACCTTCCGTCGGCACTTAACCAGGTACTTCCGGAAGGGCACCGGCTCAGCCTCCATCTCCTTCAGGCCCTCCAGAACGTGCCGGTAGGACTCGAAGAAAGCGGGCGACTCGGCCATGGTGAAGGTGGCTCGGCCCAGGAGACGCAGGAGCCTGGTGTGACTCTGCTTGATGTCCAGCCACACAGACCCTTCGTGGTGGCGGGATCCGGCCACTGTCCCAAAGAGCACCTGTGATGGAAGCACTTTATTATTATTATTATTATCATTATTATTATTATTATTATTATTATTATTACTAGCTTGGGGACCCGGCGCTGCCCGGGTTATTAGAGAAAGTGGGTAATGGCCATTCTGTATGCCAAGTTTGGTGTTAAACAGGATGTAAAGAAGGCCGGTATAGAAAACTTCCAAATAAATAAATAAAATAAATAGATAGGGTCACGGGGGCTCTGTGTGCCAAGTTTGGTATTGATCAGTCATTGGTTCAGGGTCGCAGTGGTTTCAGTAAGTGAGTAAAGATACTGTAAGTCCCATCATCCATGGCCCATCCCCCTTAGAACTGCATCAGGATGTAGAGTGGGCCATGAGTACTCTGTGTGCCAAGTTTGGGCCTGGTCTCTGATTTGTAGGGGCTACAATGTTCTGTGGGAAGTGAATCGGGTGAAGGTACTGCAAATCCCATCATTAGTGGCCCATCCTGCCCTGAACCGCACTGAAAGTCCCATCATCCATCGTCCCTCCTTCTCCAAACAGCATCGGGATGTAGAGTGGGTCAAGGGTGCTCTGTGTGCCAAGTTTGGTCTTGATCGGACATTAGATTAGGGTTGCAGAAGTCTTGGGAAGGGAGTGGAGGTACTTGAAGTCCCATCATCCATGGTTTGTCCTCCTCGAAAGTGCACCAGGATGTAGAGTGGGTTATGGGGACTCTGTGTGCCATATTTGGTCTTGATCAGTCATTGGCGAGGGTCTCAGTGGTCTCAGGAAGTGAGTGAAGTGACTGCAAGTCCCATCATCCATTGTCAAATTCTTCCAAACCGCACCAGGATGTAGAGTGGGTCATGGGGGCTCTCTGTGTAAATTGTCGTCCTGATCCATCATTGTTAGCAGTTGTAATGGTCTTAGGAAGGGAGTGCAGGTATTGCAAGTCCCATCGTCCATGGTGCACCCTCCTCCAAACTGCACCAGGATGTAGAGTGTGTTATGGAGACTCAGTGTGCCAAGTTTGGTCTATCGGTAATTGGATGAGGGTTGCAGTGGTCTTAAGAATTGAGCAAAGGTACTGCAAGTCCCATAATCCATGGTCCATCCCTGGCCAAACCGCACCAGGACATAAGATGGGTCATGAGAGGTCTATGTGCCAAGTTTGGTCCTGGTCAGTCATTAGATGAGGTTAACAGTGGTCTCAGAATGTGAGTGATGGTACTGCAAGTCCCAACATCCATGACTCATGCTCCTCCAAACTGCAGTAGGATGTAGAGTGGGTCATGGGGGCTCTGTGTGCCAAGTTTGGTCTGTATTGGTAATGTTCTGACTCCGCCCCCTCTGGCCTTTTCCTTTCCTCTCTTTGTATCTCGGAATCTTGGAATTGAGGCTGGCCAATCAGAGACCATATGCAAATTTCCTTCTCATGTCCCCGTTTCTGTCATGAACTATTTTCTCCACCAGGGGCTCCTATTGAAGCTGGCCAATCAGAGACCATATGCAAATAGCACCACAGCAGCAGCCAATCAGAACGCTGGCACATACTCCTCCCGCCACACTTTTGTCCTCCGCATACAAGTTTTGACTTTTTATTATATACATAGATTACTTGTGCAGGTACAGCTGTACCAGGAGCTCCAATTTTGTTTGCTTTGCATTTAATGTTTGTTATAGTCCTAAGTTTCAGGGACTCTGCAGATAGGTGGCTTCTTTTGGCTGCAATCATAGGGCAAGCCACCTGTCAATTATAGTTAGGTTCCCTGGTCCCGCCCCCTTTTTGGGTTTTAGAGGGAATAGGAGCCATTTTGAGTTCAGTCCACACAGAGAAGCTTTCCATGCAGGACATAATACCAAGAGCTCCTGTAGAAAGCTTCGTCTTCTACGGCTTGGCCGGGGTTATACAGCCCACAGCTTGGCCGAGGATTATACAGCCTTACAGCTCCTTCGCTGAGGGACTTCAGCCAGCCATCACTGAAACCTGAACTCCTTTTCCCTTGGAAGTCTACAAAGCTCTGCTTGGTAAGGGTCACTCGCGGAAGCCAGAAGCAGTTGGTACCGGGTGTAGGGGCTCCACGCCAAAAGAGGCAAAGACAGACTGCCCAGATTAGAAGTTAAGGATTTCCCCATTAGTTAGTATACAGTTATGATGATAGCGCCTGTTCCCTGTGGGCAAGATTGAGAGAGAGCCAATAGACTGTTAAGAAAGCTTTAAAGTACCTGTTTTCATCAATAATAAAGAACTTTGTTGAACCTTTAAGCAATCTAAAGACTCTGTTTTAAGGAAATCCAAGGGCCTTTAATCTGTGGCAGCCCCGGCGTCCCGTTGGGCACACGGAATGTATGTCCTGTCTACAGTCTGATGCACAGGCCCAGCGTGCGACAGCACATTACCCAATTTATCTCTCCCGAAGGAGACTCAAAGTGGCTGAATAAATAAAATGGTATTAATTGGGATCTAGCTAGAAGCCTGAATGAAGAAGGATGGTGAGCATGAATGCTGAATGTATGGATTATGCGTGACTGTTGGAGAGCATATAATAATAATAATACCTCAATTTATCTCTCCTGAAGGAGACTCAAAGCAGCTTAATGAATAAAATAGTATGACTCTTAAATTGCCTTGAATAGGCAGGATTACTTTAAATATATATGTGTTACTGCGACAATTTTGTGCTTATATTGTTTTGTTAATGTTATGTTTATGTTGTTTATTCTGTATGTATTAATGATGTTACTTGGAAGCATCAACTGAAACAGGTGGTGGTTCGTCCACTCCTTAAAAAGGTTTCCCTGGACTCCATGGTGCTGAACAACTTCAGGCCAATCTCCAACCTCCCTTTCTCGGGTAAGGTGCTGGAGCGGGTGGTCGCCTTCCAGGGTTTTCTAGATGACAACAACTACCTAGATCAGTCACAGTCTGGTTTCAGGCCTGGCCACGGCACCGAGACGGTCTTGGTCGCCTTGGTGGATGACCTCCATAGAGAGCTAGACAGGGGGAGTGTTACTCTGTTGGTTCTCTTGGACATCTCAGCGGCTTTCGATACCATCCATCATGGTATCCTTCTGGGACGACTCTCT